TTTCAAGTTTTAGTGCATAGGCTATCAAAGCAGATAAATTATTGAAAACATGCTCTTACTAATACTGACATTACAGTTCTTAAAAAAAAAAAAATTTCATGCTATTCTACCTCTTTACTCCTTTGAACAATCTAATGTGGAACTGAATTGATGCATAAATCCAGAGCAAAAGATCCGTTATGGACTCAACATCCATATTTATAATACAGATATACATACCATATGTCTATATATTTGTATATTTGAATATATGTAAACATAAAAAAATTTATAAATACAGCATGATTGTGCAAATGTTTATGTGTGTGTGTGTCTTATGTGTGTGTAAAATGGTGAGAAACTAATAGTGCAGTGGATAGGTACAGAGTAAATTACTACTAGAGCAGCCCAAAGATGCAGGCAATCAGAAAAGAGCTTTGTTTTTCTTGTTTTAATCTTAAATGTAAACCCTAATAAATCAGATAATCATGTGAGGCATCAAGCAGCAATCTGCCCTCTAAGGTAATCATGCTAGAGAAGGTTGATGTGGCATAGAAGAAATGAGGCAAAAAGCAACAGAAATTGTGAGATTGGTGCCTCTGGATTTTTTATAGCCTGGATATAAACTGAATTGATATCACAGTAGAAGATCATGACAAATGGTTCACTGTTTGGATTTCTCTGTGACAAATAAACAATAGTACAAAATGCTTAGTTTCAGGCATTAAGAAAAAAAATAATTTGACAAGAAATAAGGGAGAAAAGTAATAGACATCTAAACTGAAAATAGTGTCTGGTCTGATGGCTAACACAATGATCACATCTGCTGTGGATTGGAATCTTGCCTGCACGGACCTCACTAATATTTGCATTGATAAAAGGAGAGTCATCAAAAATGTGACCATTCAAGCCTGCCTTGTTTCACACTCTTTGAACAGTGTGGTGTAGCTGGCACTCCAGAACTTACAGGAAAGAGTAATTAAATACCCACAAAACAAAGTAAAACCCAGATCCTTCCTTGCTCTTATGGGCATGAGTTTTGCCTTTGACACAAGCCCTCCAAAAACACGAACCTCAGTGAAGACACCTCGGTAGGGTCCTGGACAAAGCAAATGTCCTGTTTAATGATGCAGAACACCTGTAATTTGCTGCATCCCTTATAATATGATTCAGCTCTACTTCTGCCAGCTTCTGTAGTCATCAAAGAGAAATGGCGTGACTGCATGTATTTTCTTTCTGTTCTGGCCACCTCGTTTCTTGAGGGAGATCTCTGTGAAGTAGCTGTATTTCCTCCTTGATCACTACAGAAAGGAATCTGATACTTGAGTAAGGAAGAAGAAACCTTTGTTCCCTTCTCTTTGTGCAGCTGCTAATAATCATCTGTAAAACTGAACCTATGAACCTAAAGTTCCTATAACCACAAACCTGAGTTTACTCAGTGTTTCTAGCTCAAGTTCTCAGCATGAGTATTGCAATTAAATGTTGAAAAGTAATTAATTCAACTGAAAATTGATATCAAAATTCCGTATAATTTTTCTTAACAGTATTTTTAAATTTTGTCTTCTGTTAGAAGGAATACAACAGTCTAACCACTGCTGTAATTACAGCAGAAAATAGTTTAAATTTGCTCTACTTCAAATTTGCTCAATTTTTGTAAAGTTAAATTACAAAAGGGAAAAGTTAAATTACAAAATCAGAAAGCTCTATGCATATACTTATTTCCCATGAAAGCAAGTATTGCACACAAAGTAGTCTACTTATCAAACTCTTCATAGCCAATGAAATAAATCAGTGCATGCCAAGACTTCAAATAAACATCACGACCAATGTTTAAAAAAAACCAACAAAAAACACTTACTTTGAAACTAACCTCCAACGAAGATGTAAGTAAAAAGCTGTCTGAACAAATTTCTTGTGAACTGGAAATGGAATATATGCTCCTAGGGATGGGAAATATATGAAAGCTTCAATACTTTTATGAACCCCTTTTTTAATTGTCTAAAGTACTTAACTGTATACTATTAAAATAACTACAGTACTATGGAATATGTCCCCTTACTCAGCTCTCTACTTGTCTGTTTTTCTAAATCATCTATTCTTGATAACTCATACATGCTTCTTGTCAGGTGCAGTGTTTTCTTGAAAATCAAATACTGTGTATGCCTTGCTTCTGCGGTCCTCACAAACACATGCTAATGTCCTGCTTGAATAAATGTCATTGCTCACATCAGCATATACTGCAGAACTTGACTTCACATCAACTCTAGAATTTTCTTAACAGGTTTCCTAAATGGGGAGAAATTCCTAGCATTTTCATTGTAAGTCAGAGAGCAATGAGTTATGCATTGGCTCCTGACCTGTGAATGCTCAAAGCAGCTTGTGGAAATATATGAGGTCAGGATTATAAGACAGTCATTTAAACTGTTTGACTTTCTAGTCAAACCAACACTCTCCCTTTTTTCTTCTCTTTTTTTCTTAATATTCTTAATATTCATGCATGCATTTTTCAGTCACAATTTAGCCAAAATATGAGATTATAAGAAAAAATATGTGTTTATGTGAATAAAGAACATTCTTGTTATGCTCACTGGACCATTTGTGGCTTTAAATGCCCTTATCTTCCATGGCTTTATATTGGCCAATGCTGCTCAGCACATACTTATCTCCCCACTCATTTTCTGGGGAGATAAAGTCTTTTTCACAACTTTCCAGCTTTTCATAAGAGAAACCTAGGCCTTCTGCCTCATTCAGTTGATGTATTTCATTTGGGGATACATAGTATGACATATGTGTCGTAATGCATGTTTTTAATAATCCTTCTGTTATATATTATTTTGATTTATAGTTTAAATCAGTGGAGTCAGGATTTCACCATAAATATGTGATAATATTTTTTTAGGAATGAAAGTTATTGCTAAAAAATTCACCAAATCTTTCTCTGTGTAATGGAAGTATTTTAGTAATTTTTTTAATTTCAGCTGTTGAATATCCATGTTGACAGTGGCATTTCAAGTAGAATCAAAATATTTGTTACATACTTTAATTGTGGAATGCAGTTTCTCTATGTGGTACTGTAACTCTTCTTCAATGGAAAAACTCTTTTTAAAGTGGAATATTAAAAATTTTGACTGAACAATAATGAAAAATATTCCTCCATGTGCTTTCTTTGAGAGATCTTTGTAGCTAAATCCTCTATACACAAGAAATTTATGCACAATTGTACAGCACAAACAAGTCCAGATAACTGAGCTTAGAAGTATTAAAAATAAAGTCTTATCTTTGCTACAATAAATAATTTTGGGATATTAAAAGATTACCTGATGAAGTCAGTGGTTGTTGACTCTTTTTTTTAACAGCAAATATTGTCAACTGAAAATGATGATGTCCTCATTGTCAGAAATGCATAACTGATGGCAGGCATTTGTCATTTTCATTATCTCTTGTCCACCCTCCTGTGGTAAGTAGGTTTAGCTGCCAGGGTCTAATGTGCTCCAGCAGAAACATCAAATGAGGGGAGGCAGGACTTTACAGGGAAAAAGAGGCAGGACTAAGTGTGGGTGTATTGCACACCAACCCTTGGTTTTACATGATACTTGGGGTTAAGAAAGCGACTAAGATAATTTGTTGAGGAACTGTGACACTCAGCAATATTAAATTTCTAAGCTTTGAAATAACATAGCTTGCAACATTGAGCATTTCACTTTCTGTTAAAGCAAAAAATTAGTTCTTGTATATGGAAGTAGGAGAGGGGTAATTTCCATTTCTAAGTAGCTAAGCCATCTCTTTATATATAGTATATATTACCATATATGCTATGTATGAGATTTGCTTTATACAAAAATTTATTAAGGCTTATGTATGAATGTTGTGCATTCTGAAAATTCAAGAACAATTTTGAAGGGAGAATTGGAAAAAAGATCATATTTCATGTCAAGGAAACAGATTAAATATATAATAATGATTAAAAAACAGTTTCATGATTGTCATGGATGAATGTCAAACACATTTATCAAATGGCTATGCATATAATGAGTCACAGCTTCCACATATATATTTTTTATAGGCATGTAGCTCCTGAAGTGTACCTATTAATTGCAAACACTGGAGTACAGTTTGTTCTCGTTTTACATTGCTTTTCTGTATGCATATTAGAAAGACATAACTTTTTAAAGATCAGATTAAATCTGAGAAACTGAGGTAAAAAATCATTTAACTCTTTGAGAGACAGAAGATATTTGTCTTTTAGAAAATGAAGAGAGGATGGAACAGACAGAAGTTTCAGTAGAACATCTGAAAATATCTCCATGAATGAAAGTACAAAAGATTGATATTTTTTGTCCCTTTCAGATACCCACATCCTTATTTTAATTAACTTGCTCATATAAATACAGCAAGAATGTTGTATTTTTTTAAATAACTCTTTACTGAATATGTCAACAAGATAATATATAGTGTATAGTGAGGTTTTGAAGTTAACAATGCGTGCAACATGGCAGATTGCAGAAAACAGATAACGCAGACTTCAAACCATCTATTTTTCCATGTTAAAGATAGAAAGTATACCAAACACAGAACAGAATCAAGTGTGCATATCTTAGCTAAAATCAATTTCATGAAAGATCATCTTCAGATATTTGGGATCAACTCATGATAAAAATTTGTTTAGTAGCTTATCTGTTTCTGAGAGGATCAGAATTCAGCTCTCACGAGGCACATTTCCACAGAGCCCCAGTGTAATAAAAGGTTGCCAAATCTCTTCTGTGCTAGTTTTCCATATGGACTACTAGCCAGCGTCCTTTTAAAGAGCAAAACATTCTCTGCTGTACAAAAGTTTAATGCCAAATGCTTCAATATTGCCTGTAGTATCATGTGGGATACAAAGTGCCCTGTTCAATAGAGTTCAGGGAAGGAGTAATCATCAGCTTCCTAGGATTATCTCTGTGTTTAGAAGAGAGCATCAGGCAGGATTTGATGAGGTTCAGAGCCAGCAACTTTTGGTTTTGGCACTCACTTCTGTTTTGTTTTTCCACTGAGCTGTAAAGACAAGTCATGTGTAAAACCATTATTCTCATGGTCTAAAGAAAAAAAAAACTTTAATATCTCCATGTTAAATTTGAGGTGAAGAAATACTATAAATGTAGAATTCAATGGGAATTAACCACTTTACTGTCAAAAGCTGAGACTGAACTTTCACTTCAATGCCATTAATAAAGTGCCTTATGTAAACCCTTAAAACAATAATATCAATATGCATGAAGTTCTTTTGTTTGCAAAATTGAAATGAATGAATTTTTCAGAGGGAGAAACTTGCTCTCATGAAAAAAGGAAAATGATTCAGAGACAAATATAGCTGAACTACTCTAGTAGCAATTTTCATATGCTATTTCATTTTTTCTGTTTTACATGATATTCACTGTAGTCCTTTATTGGCTTACAGGGAAAACTGCTAATATATTTTCAGTCCAAAGTAGCTTATTCCCTAAATATTCTTATAAAGAAATTCAGTAATAATATTCCAATAAGAACCTGTTAACATGAAGTCCATGCATTAATCAGGTGTTTGTTTCTGCCAGCAAGCCACATGCAAGGAACACTTGCTAAAATGTCAGAATCCATGAAAATAAGGACCTCTTTGTAAATAAATATGTCTTTAGAAGGAACCCAAGCACTGGTAACAGCAGTGTCATGATACTTCTTTAACACAATTTCAGTGTTTATTTTATTCTACTCACCAGTCTTTCTGCACATCTGTGTCAACTATTAGCACTACACAATGGAAGACGGGTGAGATTTTGTCTGAAAAAAATAACTTGCCCCCAGATCCAATGAACTTGATCAAATCTGGACTTAAAAGTGAACATTTTGAGTGAGTTGTACATGCATATATTTGGCACTTCTGCTCTATAGCCTTTAGTTATTATATATGGTCAGATATTTGTCCTAAGTGAAGATCACCCAATTTTTACAAAGCCCAAGGAAAAAGATACTAATCTTAAACTTTAAATTTCAAAAATATCATTGTCCATTTTTAACTCTGACTTTTCCCACATACTTTACCTAGTGAAATTAGCTCACTAAATGCTTATCTAGGTGGGAACTGAAATGAAATCTCAGGTGTTTGTGTGACTGGCACTTTCAGAAATCCCTAATTCTATGGTAGGCTGAAATACATTGCCAAATACATTTTGGAGCTAAGGAGCAATTAATTTGGGAGAAACATTCTTCAAATGACACATATAACACTTCAGTTGCCTACAACTCCAGATTTTTTTAGGTAATATTCCCTGCTCTATCCACAATTTTCAGTATAAGGCGCTTGCTATGCTTTTTCAGAAGAGTCTTTATAGTAAAGAATCTTTTATCCCATACAAATTGATATATTTTTCTTCATACTGAAAGGAAGCATAAAGTATGTTGTCTTAAATATCATTGCAATTTTTGATCAAGGTAAGTCATAGTCTACATATATAAGGATACATATATGTGTTTCATCGTTCAAGATCAAAATGAACAGTTTGTAAATGCCTTCTGCTTTCACCCTCTTTGATAAGTAACCAGATTTGTTGTCATCAGGTTGGGCTTGTGGATCATTCACTTGCAGTACAGGCCAAACTCCCTGAATTAAGTCAATTGCTACAAATAAGGTGCCTATGGTACACTGATGTCCAGAACTGAAGATTCCTCCTGCATCAGTCACTGAAGTACAAAACACTAGAAGCATGTACTTTCCAAGGAGGCCTTTTGGAACCAAATGTACAACCAGTTATTTCATTGAAATTAAACACTATGTCCACACCCAATGGGAATCACTGGCTCTGCTTAATGTCAGGCAAACTCCAGCATGCAACAGAAGCATCAGGAGCACAACTATTTGCTGCTTGTCTTTTGAGCTGTGGCACCTAAAATATGTTAAACAAAACAAAACAAAAAAAAAAAAGACAAACAAAAACCACCAAAACCAAGAACCAAAGCTCTAAAGTATCAGCCTTACTATCATCTTCAGTAAACAGATCACAGAAAAAAACCCTCCACTTTGCACAGACATTCCTACCTAGAATTATGTCATTTGAAAACATATGGTAAACTTTTAATCAGCAAAATTTTAGTGACTTAAATATTACAGTAGCCACACAGGTTGCTTAGAATACCTGCTATAGCTGGTAAAAATTGCAAATATATAGAATATAGAGTGGAATTTCAAAATGTGATTTTTAAAGTTATTGGTGGGAGGATGTGATTCCTTACAAAAATGGTCGTACTTTGCCATCGTAATTGGGTTCATTTTGTCATTGCAGAAAATTAGTGTTATCATGTGATCTGAATTGCAAAAAATACATGCTTATATACTGCTGAGTTTCAAGAATGGGTTGAGTGAAATGAGAGACGGAAAGGATTAAAACCATCTCTTCCATCATAAGGAGCTTCATAAAGTGAAAAAATCTAAGCATTCAACTGTGAAAGTGCTTCAGCCTTTATTTCCAATCCACATGCAGCAACTTTCTGTCTATCCCTAAGTGATCACTGTAAAACTTTCTCTTTGGTTCACTACTACCTCAGGAAGTTTTGTATCTATCTTTTTTTCTTTTTCTTTTTCCAATGTGATGTAGCTTTAGCTTGTCCCCAAACTCAGGAGAAAATTAGCTACATTAAAAAAGCAAGCTGAACCCCCCCAAAAAACTAGATTCCACGACAGTTCTTGGCAGTCAATGACTTAGCAGAGGGGCTGAAACATTACATAATTTTGAGAGCTGCATTATGGTTTTAATACAAACATTGTGTTTTGCAATAGTGCATGTAAAGCTCAAGGACTGAGAAGGTATTGCAGCTAAAGAATCTGAGGGTATAAAAAAGCAAATTCTAAACCCACCTACTGCTTGTGAAGCAGAATCATTATGGGAAACTCGAAAATGCTTAAGGTAAAAGAAGGGTAATTCAGAGGGACACTGTGTACCTGTGTTCTCAAAATTCCCCAGTCAATCAAATGCTTAGCTAATGTCAGTCTCTGTATACTTTAATTGGGAAGGAAAAAAAGCAAAACAAACAAACAAACAAAACTCACCAAGATTTGTACATGATTTTCCCCACTGAACATATTTCAGTTCATTATAGCCCTGGGGGTCTTTCCAGTACTAAATAATTTTTTAACAATATATTTCTTGTTTGCTTTCTCTTTTTGTTATTTTTTTTTCCCACCTATTTCTCCGTAATGAAGATAACTCAGACCGTTAAGTGAAACGAAGCTTGAACTATACAAATTATTAGCAAAACCTTTCCATTGCCATTATATTTTGCAGCATGTTTTCAGCAATACGCACTTTTAGATTTCAAATTACATGAAAGTGTACATGAATACTGCAGAGCTTGGAGCACTCAGAATTTCCCTGCTCTGGCTTTACCTGAACATGCTATGTCAACAAATGCTGATCCATTAAGAGGTGCAACTTAATGACAGCCCTCCGTTACACACTATTACATGCCTTCACCTCCCACTGAAACGGGTCAGAGAATGCCTAAAGCTTCGAAATCCTAATAAAAAGCACGAACAGTTTCTAAGATAAAGTATCTAGCACTGGGGAAATTTTCGGAGCAACTTCTGCAAATAGGAACCAAGGTCACTTTGAGTTTGACACTGAGCTCTTTCCACGTTTCCTATTCCAAGTAGATTGAAAGGAAACTAATCAAACAAGAAAGTAGCTTTTTTGGCAGCGCTCCGAACTCCAGCGTTCAGTTGGAGGTGAGAGGTGCAGAACTGACAAAGAGGAACGGATGTGTTTCCAATTGTTTGAATCTCAACAGCAACTGCTGGGCTCAAGTCAGAAGATTTGTGCCCATTTTATCTGAATTACTTTTGTCTCTTCCTAGTGACCCTGTTTTAATATGCACTTATTTGCCTGTATTCCAGGACACCTAGAAACTTAACATCCCTCAGACTGCTTCGACAGCAAAGTGGTTAATGTTTGAAGAATGAGTCATTCTTTCCTTTGCCATGACATTGGGTTCTTATTGTACAACCCTGTACAGTACTCAGCAATATTTTTTTAAAGATTTAAAAAGCAAAGAGTTACAAAACCATTTGCAATTAACTTGAAATAGAAAAGATAGCACTTTTTTTTTAAATCCCATTATATAGTACACCGTATAAATTACAGAGTATTCAAATGCATAAATGCATCTGTGTAACATTTATCAAATGTAATTTTTTTTTCATTATCCTTGGGGGGCTTATTTTTTCTAGAGTTTTTTCTCCTTGTCCTAGAGACCCCCATGCTCCCTCACTATCACGTATGACAGTGCTCCAGGTCTGAGACGTTGCTGTTGCAGTATCGCATGTTGTTGGGGATGTGGCAGTCTGTGTAGTTAATGCCCCCGTTTGGGGTATAAATGGGCTGCAGTCTGAAATCTCCTTTAAGGAGCTGATCGTTATTTAAGGAGACAATCTGGAAGCTGGTTTCCGTCATCTCCAGGATGGAGTTGTCCTTCTTGGTCCCTGCCTCACAGTAGTCATCTTTCCGACGGCCCCGGTTATATTTCCACTTCTGGGAGGTGTAACGACCTTTTTTGTGCATGTGCCAGCAAAAAATGCTGAGCAAGACCACGAGGACAAATATCACTGCACCCCCAATCAACCCTGCCAGCAGAAATGGGGAGCCTAGGTTCTGAGAAGTCGTCTGCTCATGGCTGGAAGGGATGTTGCTGCCATTCAAAAAGGAAGCCTTGGTTGTGGCTTCTGAACAGACAGTGTCTTCTCCAGTTCGGTAGCTGTTGTAAGTATCCAGTGGAACCAAACAAATCCGGTAAGTGGATTTGGGCTCCAGATTTACCAAGCTTGATTGCTGCTTCTCACCGCTGATTATTCGTTCATGAACAATTCCTCCTACCAGACTATGGCCCATTTTAACCCACGTGAGTTTATATGCCATCACAGTAAAAAGGGACATCCAGTTGACTTGGATGCAAGTGTCATTCACAAAATGGATGGAGAGCTGAATCCATTCAGACAAAGGAGGCGTCACCCTTTCTCTGTCCTCCCTGTCAGGCACAGTGGGGAGTGTGGCTATGATGGGAGTGAGAGGGTTATATTTACCACTTGAGGAAGGAAATGATGAGCTGGGAACTAATGTAGTTGGCAGGGTTGTAGCTGGGACTGGGGTGATGATGAGTGGCAGACCAGGGGTGGTGGTGGGGCATGACAACATATTCATATTGAGCTCCCTGACTGCCATACCTCGGACCTGCTCTGGTCCCTGGCACATAAAACCCCGTACATTGATGGAAGCAGGGATAAATTTGAGCCATTCGGTGACCCACTTAATACTGCAGTCACATAACCAGGGATTATTCCTTACAGTGAGCTGTCTCAGGTTATGGAGATTATCAAATACTCCCTTTGCCAACATCCGAAGCTGATTGTTGGAAATATCAAGACGTTCCAGTTTGTGGAGGTTTGAAAAGGCTGTAAGTGGTATATGGGTTATCTGGTTGTCCTGCAAGTAGAGTCTTAGCAGATGTGTACCTGGAAGATCGGGAGGAGGGTAAGTCAGTGAATTCCGAACTATTGAGAACTCCTTGAGCTTGGAGAGGTGGCTAAAGGTGCCTTCAGCTATGCCTTTATTAGTAAGGAGATTGCCATCCACAATCAGACGCTCCAGACTTGTAAGATTCTGGAAGGCCAGGTCTGAAATGACAGCAATTCGGTTTTCGTCTACACGAAGCTCTTGTAAGTCCAGCGGAAGGCCCACTGGCACACTGCTTAAGTGATTCTTGGACAAGAACAGAAGCTTGAGGCTGATGGCTTCCTGGAACGCCCCATCCTCAACGCCAACAGTGGAGATGGAGTTGTCATCCAGGTGCAGTTCTTCCAGCTTCAAAAGCTGAGCAAGAGCAGCACGTGAAATGGTCTGAATGTTGTTTTCCTGCAGGTGGAGAACCCTGACATTTTTGGGCAGGTTCATGGGGAATTCATCCAATTGATTGCCATACAGGTAGACTGTGTGCACAGACTGGACATTGTGCAACTCTGCAGGAAATCCAGCATTATTAATTTGGTTATTATGGAGGTAGAGGACGGTTACACCCTCCGGTATCCCAAGAGGCACTGAGGTCAAGCTTCGTTCATTACAGTAGACAAAGTTTCGGTCACAGCGGCAAACTTTTGGGCAGGCCAAAGTTTTGGAGACCTGTATGTAGAGCCCCAGGGAAAAGATAAGCCATGATTTCATGAGAAGAACCCAATCTGTGGGCAACATTTTAGTCCACGAACCCATTTCTACTTTAAAGAAATAAAGTACCAAAGTGTTTAAGAACTGATAACGATACTAACGGACAGGTAACAAAATCTCAGGTCATTAAAGTTGGCTTCTATTTATGTCCAGTGTTCAGGCCAGAGTTAAAGTCCTGGAGGCTAAGCATGAAATAATCCTTTTATAATTGGTCTACCTCCTACTTTTGATAAGGAAAACAGAGTCTTATTAGCCAGGTTACAATGTTTGTTGCCTTCCTCCATGTGTGCTGAAGGTACCAGTAGCCATGTCTTTGCAGATGAACAACAGGTTACTTTAAAGCTACCGTAAGTCTCTGTGCTTGGAGGGGTATTTCACTGAAGTCTGTTGGTTTCTGTCAGCTTTCTGAAGTCAGCGAAGTCCTCATATCCGCTATCTGCCAGATCTGGCCTGCCTGTAAAAGGAAAGAGAAAAGAAAAAGCTGAATATCATGAAATGCTTAATAGGGAAGATCAAACCCATTAGAAGACTATTCTAAGGCTGAGCTCCTTATGGATTTCTGGGGAAAAAAAGGGGAGAAAAGGCATTAATATTAAACATTAGCTTAATATTACTGTTAAATAGTCTTGAAATAGATTTGATGCAAAGTCGTAATGACTGAAGGACTTTCAGTGACTTCAGTGAAGGCTAGATCTATTACTTCCATTTGCACACTATACCTACATACTTTGTCCTCTCACAGTCTGTTTAAAATTCTAGAACTTAAAACAACCCAAAACCAAAACCATTTAGCCGGAAGTTTTTTGGTCAGGTAATTATTTCTCTTTTGCGGAACCACTGACTTCAATGACTGCTATTCACTGATGCCTGACAGAGTAGACTCTAGGCTGTATTATTAAATCACGCTCTATGGTTTTTTTCATTTTCTACCAGACTCTGGAATATTCTGCTTCTATTTCTGTAATAGCATTACATATATTCTCCAAATTAATGCAGAAAAAATGATAATAGAGACTTATGGGGAGAGTCCTTTAAACAAGTATGGTAGTCCACGAATGTAAGATACCCTGCTGTAAGACATGCATTTGCTAAAACTGTCATCTTGATATTGGTTGTGATGCGAACAGTGCTGTCAATGGATTTCACAACTTGCTTTCCGCTAAATGAAACAGGCTCACATCTGCTAAGTTTTTGTTTTAGGATATCAGCTCAAACTATGGCAGTTTTGCAAAACACTTCCTTTGAAACCATAAAGGTTAGATATGGCTTTTAATTTTGCTACACAGTTACCTGTGAATGGCTGCATAAACAAGTGTGTTAGCTTTAGTACAGTTAAGTTCCTTAATGTGCATTTTCAGCTTGTAAGCATGCTTTTTATGTTCGCAGCTACTATTTATTATTCAGATCTATAACCAAACATTCCCACTCTTTAAAGCATGCTATGGAAGGTACTGTGTCATTTGATGTTGTCTTGTTAAATGCTGTTTCCAACGATTGTCGTGCCCTTCCCCCCCACTCCCGCATTATACATAGTTGGACCTAATGAAGGATATCAACCTTGGCAAGTACAAAATGTGCAGATCTCAGGACACAGTAATTTACCAAGTCTTCTTTATCCAGATCAAAACTCAGGCTGGGATTCCAAGAAAATGGAATTTTAGTGACAAAAATCCTGTTTCAAAATGGTGATTTTTTTTTTAATTTTTTAAATTTTTTTTAAATTTTTTTTTAATACTTATTTAAACAATTTAAGAACATCCAGATCATTCAGAAAGAAACTTACTTTGGTCATCCATAAAACCTTGCTCTTCTGATAATGCTGTACAGTTTATAACATGTCCCTGATGGTACTTCTGGGAATCCTATGGACTGGTATTACAGAGAGCACCCTTAGGAGTCAAATTGTTATAACCATTCAACCTTGTACTTGTAGATTACTGCATTTATTTAGAGAACCATCAGGTATCAGCCTCAAGGTTCAAACAGCAGGAGATAAAAAAGTGACACCCTGAAAAATCCTGTTTATCATTATGAATGCAAATTTTAAAGGTATGTAAGCATAATACTGTAATATAGCCCATACTGTGTATTGTCCTTTTATAGAAACAGTATGATTAGGTACACCACTGTTCATGGTTTTCTCTCTCACAGGCATATTTCAGTGAGGAGTGATTTCTTTTCAATTATGCCAGATGACGTGATACTGTAGAGAAACTCTTAACAGGATTACATCCTAACATGAGCCTAAGTGTGACGGTTTATCTGCCTTTAATATGGCCTGGCTCCCATCTAGATCACAGTGCTCTGATCTGTCATGACACTCTCTTTTTAAATGAAAATGGATATGCAGAGCATCCTCTGAGATGACTGGGACCACACAGAGTAATGATAGTTGTTCTCTCACTTTTCCATCATCATCATCAGAGAGAGAGACAGCCCGTACAGCCCGTACCTCCTAACAGATCCAATGCTCCGCACTAAGCTCGCTTCTGATTGCAAGTCCAGCTACTGATTAGGTTTTATTTCACTCCCGGGTACAACAGAAAGCCCAGCTGAGAACATGCAGGCACAGGCAGCTGCAGTTCCTGGTGTGCTGGGAATGTCCTAGGAAGGGACTGTCATATTTAAACTGATTTATGCATTCACCTCATTCTAGTACTTGGTCCAGTGTACCTCTCACATAAGTAGATGTGGCACCTGAATTAAAGATTTCAGTAATGATTTGAACAAATTAAGTCAAGCACACTGCATTTCTCATTAGCTAGTACAAGAAAAAGAGATTTGATTGGACAGTCACTTCTGGAGTTTCTCTCCTTTTCTTGTTACATGGATTTTGTTGTTAGAAATCTGCTAAAACTCTCCTAATGTTTTCTTCCCTTATGGGGGAAAGAAAAGTAGTCTTCTTATTAATGGCAGTATCCTAAACTCTAGATATCAGTCCTTAATAAACTGGTACAATAAAAGTCAGTACAGATTGTATGTATTTGGGACTACTCTTGATCATATTAAGCAAAAGCACAAGTTCATATCTAACTAGATATCTATGACTTCAGGGCTGACTGTGGTGTGACAGAGGTAAAGAATGAGGATGCAAGGATAAAACTGAATGTATTTAAGTACCTTTTTTGGAAAGGGTTTTACTTCAGTAGACTTTTACAACTGCTTAATATTAACTTAAAATAGGGCTCACAGTTGCTGTATTTTTCAGCATATCTCAGGGATCCTAATGCAAAAGTGAGTTCTGTCTCTGTGTCAGAAATCTCTACCCCAAAGACATTAAAAAGATCAAAGAGTTGGAAATCTGCTCAATTAAAAAAAAAGAAAACTTTTTGAAGGAAAATCATTGTCTGTAAATTCCAAAAGGCTAGAAAAGTGTGAACAATTTTTCCTTCAGTAAACTGCCAAAACTGAAGACCAGTAGAGTCACTCAGATTTCCTGACCATTCCTGGCATGCTGGATTTCTAAAGCAAGCTGTTTTCAACATAACTGCAAATACTAAATTGAGTCTCTCTTCAACCTTACTGCTTTTTTCAGAAGTAGAAATTTGGAAGTGCAGGATTTAAAGGCATTCCTTAGCTGTTGTGGTTGTAAATCTTGGGACTTGACTGACAAGCTATAAATGGGAGTAACTTTGCTTATTTGAAGTCAAAAAGTTCTATAACCCAATCTAGGTAGGAAAAAAGTCAAGTGTCACAATTAAAATTAAAGAAATCAACAAGAAAATGCCTCAATAATAACACATCTGTCCATCATCAATTTGGTAATTTTTGTTTCTATATCCTCCCATGTACACTTGATTTCTATTATTTCTCACTATATCCTCCTCAGACACAAGTTATGTCTTCCAAGTGTGTAAGACATTTCCTGCCTTACTGCTGCCAGGATATTAAATCCCATTTGGATTTAAGGAATGATACAATGAAGTTAAGAAAACCACATTGAAAGAGATGAGAAAATAGCACTTGTTTTAGGTGGCCAAGTCTGAAAATTTGGCTTAGCAGTTCCTGCAATCAGTGAAAATATTTAATTTCATAACTTACAATGCATTTCTGATCAACATTTTTATCTCACTGACTTTTTTTAAACCTGCTCTGTTTAAACTCCCTTTTGGCATAACTGATGATAGCTGAAAAAGAAAAATTCTTTATGTACTAGATAAATAATAAATAATGTAAATTGACTTTATGTACTAGATAAAAGATAAGGTGTTTTGATTAAAGATATTTTAAAGGTTGAAACATCTGGCTGCAAGTTGGTAAGGTGAAAGTTTTTTAATATTTGTACCTTTACTGGTCAGAGTTCTCCATATAACTTCCAGCATTTGTTACCCTGCTGTGCATAGCCATGAAATAATTACTATATTACTGAAAATTATGTTCAATTACAAGTTTGTGGCATCTAGGGGAAAAAAAAATCAACTCACTAGTAGTCTGTTTGTGGAATTTTTTCCTACCTCACTAACTGGTATATTTCCTCAGTGGCTCTGCCTATGCTGTCTAAAGAATCTCCAAAGCTGCCCTTGGAACCAACTTTACCATTTTTCATTCTGCAGTCTTCCAAACGTGTAGTCAAGGTCCCTGTGGCTACCTGAGAACCTAGTGATACTCAGGGAAGATAAAAGAGAATAAAGAGAGGATAGCATACAGAACCAAGCCTGCATTTAAATACTTACAGCCCTATAAGCACAGAGTTTTGAGGTGCTCCTAAAGCCAGGTTGTCTGTCTTCATTAGCCTAGACATGGTTTACATTAAGGCTATAAATTTTTCTGAGATAATAAAATTAAGAATACTTGGCTATTCTTTCTTTCAAGGAATCCTGAAAATAATAAAAAATAGGTCAAAGGAATCCAAGGCCTTTTTTTTCCTAACAGTCTAATCATTTAGCACCACTTTTCCCAGCAGTTCATCCGTTTATCTGGATCTGAGTGCCATGCAACATAAATTGAAAGGCAAACAAAACCAAAACCAAATGGTCATACTTATTCTTTTCACTATTACCAGTCAGTGACTCTTATTTAGCACTGAACCATTTGGCATAAATTTTCTTGGCTTTACTGAAGACCAGGGTTATAATCAAGTCATAATCTTACTCTAGGTAATTATAATATACAGTAAGTACAAGGCTATTATGTTTGGAACTGAATGACAAACAGAAAACAAATCTAATTCCATTTGTATGAAATCTAGTACAGAGTTCCTTGTTCTCAAGAAAAATATCCCTGTGTATCTATCAACTGGTAACAAGAAAAATTACAGAATAATACCTGACAAATGCCTTTTTTCCATATGAGTTCATATCTGTGAGTGTACACATTAATGAATATCCTTGTGGTTTATTTTTTGTAACATTTTTTTGGTTGGTTTTTGGTTGGTTTTTTTAAGTGATTAGAAACCTTGGGTGATGGTTTGCTGAACTAATTTCTCTATGAGTTACTTGGATTTGAACTTTGTGT